ATACGAACATTTAGGTAGACCAACATACGCGGACTTGAACTTCCAGGGAACAGTCAGAATCAGCAGAAACTTAGTAATCAAATCTAGGTAAAATGGGTCATCCACCTCTTCGGTTGAAACCAACGGAGTTTCGCTGGCTTACAAAAGATATTGCAGTATTTTAGAAAATTTGGATATATCATTTATCCGAAGTGGCTCATGACGTTGTTTTACCCACCCAAACCAATTCTGTCATAAAGGACGTCCATTTGACTGATTCGCTCACAGACTGTGTGCATAAGCAAATTAATTCTTGTTCTAAATCTACTAAACAATAGCAATGCCATTTTACCTCTAAACCTGAACTATCTGCCTCCGGTGTATTTCAGTTACTATGTTGCTAGTTTCGCTACGTTACCTACTAGGCTAGCAGTGAAGCGTTGAGGATATACTTTAGTTCGACAAAAAGGCGCGCAAAGTAGGTCGACTAAGTCCGGAAGATTTACTCGTGGGAACAGATAATGTCCACTGTCTGCTCGCTCGACTCTCCGTTTTGTACGTACCTTTGAATTAAGGTGTATGTCAAACAATATTGCCAAACTGCTTCATCAATATAAACCGTAGTGACAGCTTTCATTATATTAACAAGCGCTTAACAGGGACCAGGTTCGCAGCTGCCACCAGACAAGCGCAGATACACCGGATTTCGTGAACCGGCTCTGCTGTTGACTATCGCACTGGTGTAGCGATTGAGTTACTCATTCCAGCGTGTGTTTACCGTTTCGTGTACTTCAGCTCAATCCCTGGTAGAACATTTCTCTGGGTAAACTCTGTAGCTGCAGTCTCGTCTGGCATCCTCAGCAAAGAACTTAAGCGTTTCGAACTCGCATAGTTCAGTCCCTTCATTCAGGCTGTCGGCCGGTTGTGTTTATACTGGACTTGACACTTTCAAATTTTCTCCTGCTATCCTAGGATATTTTAGCTGACGAACGCTTTATTCTTCGTGACACCTGAAGTTATGGATCACTTGCCAACTAACGACAAATACACGTCCAAACAATTGCGCTGAAATTCGTCCGATAAACAGTTTTGCTGGGATGAAGTTCCAGCACAAACTTGAACTCAGGATAATTTCATCTTCCAGGTGGTAGTTTCATCACATCTGGGAAGAAGGAAATACGGTGACAAGCAAATTTGTAGTGGTTACCGTCTTCTCAACATTCTAGATTACTACCAGGTAAGACAGTATTTCGTTTGCTCGTGTTTGTTTTACCTACAAGCACACATCAGTTGAGAAGCAGGACACAACAATTATTAGTTCAATTCGTTCGTTTACATTTTATAGGATATGCTAGAAGATGTGCGATACCAATTAAACCTTCGAACACTCCATCCACGCTGTCCAGATATGATTGGTCAATACGTTGAATACATTCGCTTTGCTGGCTCCTCCATTAAGGGCAAATTGGTCGGTTGCTGGGTTACATTTTAAACGGTTGCCTCAACACGGTTAATCCTGTCGGGCTAAGGAGGTAGACGTACTGCAGTGTTGATAGACTCTCACTTGGTCAACCTCCGATGGAGCAACAGATGACAGAGAATAAAAAGGGTGTCCTCAACCAAGATATGCTTCTATCGCTTTCGTCAAGTTTGTGGTTTAATCAGACATATCAGCAGGTCATCTCTAGATGGGTTATGCGTGAATAGACAATGACTGGTTCTATAGCAAACGATGAGAACTGTGTTGTCTATGGTATAGCATGCAGCTTGCATCGGATTTAAGGCTGTAATCTCTAACATAATACTACGTGCTCGCCGCACAGAGTTTACTCCTCATTATCCCTTAAGACTGAAACCTTATTTGTTTCAGATCAACCCTCATCCAACAACATGTTGTTAGGCAGCAGAAACCTCACGAAATCTTCTTCTAGCGCAAGCGAGTAGTTGCTACCCTGCACAGCAAGGTAGGCCGCAAACAACAAAAGGCTACTGATAAGTTCCTGACTATGCCTTCTTTCAGATAGTATGGAGAAAAGAGTATATTGGAGCGTGTTATCCTAATATCCTGCTGCGTAACTCTGAACACTCCGGAGGTTTGCTAGTCTAAAAACGAGTTTTTAATTTTAGGTTAAAGCCGTGGTGGCTGTAGCAGTAGTATGCTCCATATTATCGGAGCTACCGGTAGTCACGGTTTTGCTTCGCAAGAAAATACAACCTAAAGACATTCACACTGAGATGCCAGAAACAACGGTAAACAGTTTTCCCTCATAGAGCATTTTCAAAACTTGGATATGTCATTTCAAGACTGTGCAGTTCATCAATGAATATGAGATCTATCTTATGCAGTACTCTAACTCAACTGAATCGACACTCTGTGATGCTCTCCATGAGCTGATTACGAAGCCCTAGCAAATATCTACATAAATCATAGCTGAGATACTGGACATCATACGAGAGCGTGTGAGACTTTTAGTCTCCACTATGCTAGACATGTGCGAGATTCCAGCGAAGTGGATGTCGTAATGTTTGGATATAGTTCAGAAGCAACCCGTTAAAACACCCAATGCTTTTCCCCTAGTTTGACGCTGCACAGGAATTCTCAGCTTGGTTATTGACTGGGGGTGCAAAATCGCTCCGTATCTATTATTCTGAAAGCAACGAAAGTCAAAGGAACGGTGTCCCAGGACCCTCATAACTAATAAATACATAATTTCAGGACATATTTCTAGACGTTGTGAGGCACATTTCAACTGCATAGTCTGATCAATCAGCACGATGAGATAGGATAAAATAGTCAACTGTTCGCGTTTTATACCATGGAACCCAAATGCATTTTTGCACCAATTGCCAGTTTGAAGGCGTTGGGGAGACTAAGAAACTGGGACCAATAACAAGTGCATAGTTAACGAAAAGTTCGAGGAAAGTAATATGGCCATCCATGCAACCGTTCTCAATGGACCAGTTTCTATGCTGTGTATTCCCTCAATAACTTCCACCCGTAAATCCATGCCACAACTGGCGGTGTGCCAGGGTGGCAAAATGACAATAAGGCTATCATCTGGTTAACAATGATGTTCCATGCTCAGGAATCGGCCTGAAGATTTGCGGTGTCCTTTTTCTATTACAGAGATGATATATGTTTGGTGGACTGTCCACAACAGGGCTGAGAGTGGATTGTGATGAATGGACTTTTGAATAATACGCTAAATACTCGAAAATTTTGCAAGTGGTAACCGAAACAAACCTTTGTGCAAAGTTTTCCAAAGCATTTCTTTTTAACAGGGCAACGCACATGAACCCAAGCTAAATATTGTGACAGCCAAATTGAGCCCCCTGACTTTCCTGTTGCTCCACAATCGTCTTACCTACCTAAACTTTTACTTTCGGATTGTTATCTGTTCCCGAACGTGAAGAATCACCTGAATGATCAATGTTGTAAGGACAATTCTGACGTCCAGCATGCTGCATACAGCTGATTTGTGACTCAACCAAAGGAGTTTGTTTGGACTGCCTAAGCAAAATGCCGAGTAAATGGGCTACCCAACCATTTGTATTCTGTTCTTCTTGGTCAAGATAAGGCATATATTTGCATCCCCTCGTAACCGCCATAAACATTGTGTTCTGTTTGTTTAGAATACGCGAAGGCATCTTATTTACCGTCTCTGATGACCACAAGCTTACATCTTAGCTTTCAGCTCTTCCGCTCGCAATATACGCACTATGGTAACTTAGTAGGATAGATTTCACTGAATCTTTATATATATATATATATATATATATATATATATATATATATATATATATATATATATATATATATATATATATATATATATATATATATCATTCTAGTCTGTGATCCTAGTACCTTTTTGCACACAACCTGATTTCCTCTTCTGGATACAGCTTTGATTGCTTCAATACATAGCGTTTTAAACAGTTTATTTGCTTCCGAAGGCTGCATCAGTTTAATGTTGCTTAGTGCTGTTACCGTAGTGTAGGATGTTATATTCGGTGTTTGCATAAAGCTAAGCGATGCGTATGATGCCCGACATTTCTCTATGGTGAACGAACTCTGTCTTAGTGCTTCCATCGTCGCCGCTGACTTAATGCGGGCTGCCCTGCTGTAAACCGTGGATGCTGATACAGACAGTGCTTGTCGGCTTATGGGAGTGAGGTGAATAGGCCTATGTATTGACACAGTCGGTGCAGTGGACTGGAAGCGACTGGCCTACTTCGGTCTAGGAGCAGAGCGTGATGTGGCTGGTTGAGGTAAGAGCGTGGCCACATTCACCTCCAGGGTGCGATCCCAGTATTCAACAAAATATAGTTGGTTTCCGTTAATTTATCGCACTTCTTCAAGCGTACACGTAGTCATTCGAAAAGTGGAAAACATCATATCTTTGATAAAACCAAAATTTGTTGGCCAGTTTGTATACCTTCCTCACTTCTTGAAGAGGCTTTCCTGCACACTTAAGATGGGGCAATCTAATGCTATTTGCACATGTTATCCTCATTTTGGGACATTATTGCGGTTTTCTGAAGAGCACATGCGGCATGGCAGCAAATTTGTCTAGTACAAGGACTTATAGAACACAGGAACACAGACCAGCATGCGGTAAGATTGCATGAGCATATTTACTTAATTATACAGCAGACATGGGTGGAAATGCGCGCAAGTATATCAGTGAGAAACTTTTCTGTGGAAGACAGCTCAGAATATTGAACAAATCAGGTATATATATATATATATATATATATATATATATAAATCGTAATCACATTGAAGTGACTGTTGGTCAATTCATTCAATAGGACTGTGACTGAAGCAAATGATTATTAGGTTTTGTCGGTCCGTGACTTCTCAGAAAGCCAAAGATGAAGAAGATGAGAAATGCGCGTGATCAAAGTACACTTGTGGGCGTAAAAGGCTGAATTACGCTCCAATTAACCGTCTGTTCACGTGACTGTGTTTTGTCCTCAAAACTCGAACTGTTGTAGCTGTGGAACAAAAAGCCAGCTTAAACCGTTGCTTGTTATTTTCGGTGCACTTAATTGCAGAATTCGTAGAGTACTTCGATGTTTTAAGGGATGGCAAGGATGGCTGGGACGGGTGAATGCCCGGCCGAATCACAGCGTTCTCTGAATGCAGCGTCTGCTATTATGCAAATAGTCCCAGGGTTTCAGACAAATGTGCAGTTCCTGCCATGTTGCGCTTCGAAATTCAAACCTCGCAGTGTTTACACTGTGTATCCACCGCCAATGGATCACAAACTCAAGCCACCACCAAGAGTGGACCCATACAATTATGCGCATAAAAAGCCAAAAACACACATGTTAGAGACTTCTGATGTGAACGAGTATATACACAACCGATCCAGTTGGATGTTACAAAATGAGTATCAGCGATCCCATAATGCTTGGAAACGGTACTATTACGGGACCCCTACAGAGAAAGAAGAATATGGGTGAGTCAAGCCAAATAGTTAGCAAGTGTTCCTAGGTTCTATATCAAATTCATCTTTATTTGCCGGATAGATCTTCCACGCCGTCCGATTCAAATTCCGAAAACTGACCCCACGTGGTTGATCAGTACAAGCAACATTTCATTTCATTTAGTGCAAGTTAAGAAACAATACAGGATTAATGTGGTTCGAAATGGACAAGAAATGAGTGTTTTGAGTTGTATCCACTTTCAAGCTGGAAGCCGGTGTTGGTAATTAAGTGATTGTTGACAATTAGAGAAGAAAAGCGGATACTCCGCATGTCCCTAAAGATGAGAGGATGTTACCTCGGGTCATAGCATCCATATTACGAGTGGAATCGTTGTAGTTATGCAGAAAATAAATATCGCCCATTCGTACTGTTTTCATTACGAATGGGTTACTTGTCAGACCGTAATAAGTTAGTTCCACAGACTATGCTAACAAAGTGTACAAATCAGGCTGTGGGAAGCTTGATAACCGACAAGGCCACATCTTGAATTCGGTCATTGTATGGGTCTTCGCACTTGATTCACGCTGTGTACTGAAGAAGCATTAGTGTTCCGTATCTATGTGCTACTGTGAATGATTGTGAGGAATGCACCAGAATCCTATGGTACACACAGCAATCCAAGGCGACATTGGTAAAAGAGGCAGTGGTGTAATCTGTTGGACAAGTAAATTCTCTTCAATGATTAGATCAGAAGATACATGTTCGGATGGGAAACAATCAGACCTAAGATGGTGAAAGGCACAAAACCACAAATGCATATGGAAGCAATGTGGGTAGGAAAAGAGAGTGAGTCGAGACATCTTCGGAAGTGTCGAGTACTTTAGAACGCTGGCAATAAAAGCAGGCGGGAAGCTAGTTGACAATATCCATTTTCATATTTAGCCAAATAATACACTCAATAACCAGCTTCAAAAATCCTGTGATACCAAAACGAGGAAGCGAGTGCAGTGTCAAAGTCAGTGCCCAAGAAATGGAAAGTGTGAGAGCTGCAGTTGAGTCTCTGGAGTTGTCACACTGGGTATTTCTCTCCGCTTTCCATAAAGAAAGACGCTGCACCTGTGATGCAGTGAAATGCATGGTACACTGGAGTTTTCATTTAAACCGACGCTGATGTCATGTTTATAAGTTTGATTGCTTGTGGAGGAAAGTCTGACTTATCAGATAATGAGGGCTCCAAAAACATTTGCGGATATTTGCTGACGCTTAACCACAACAACAATCTAAGAAGTCACCATCTCAAGCTGTTATAAGGGCACAGTCGTTGGGAATGCCGTTGGAGTGTCTTTTCCTGCGTGGTTGCCAAACGTCTATTGCCCTCCCGGAATCTGCTGTCGATGATCGCACGCTGGTGGAGTTCAAAGTTTGAGCTGTTCATGCATTCACTTCGCTGCACCATCTCACATTACTGATTACCAATGACTAAACCCGGGTGACGGTTAGAAGATTTTGCTCTTGGTTAGCTCCCTGAATGTGTTCCACTTTCTCACATCCTGCACGTCTTCCGAAGAATGTGACACTGCTTTACAAACACCGCATTTATTGTCACTCCTTATGGACCTATAGTGGAACTAAAGTTTTTAATGCGTATACCTTGGTGCGTCCACCGATGTAAAGTTACTCATATTCACCTTTTTCATAGTTTGCGATACTCAATATCGCCTTCATACGGGACCAGTTAAGTTTTAGTTTTTTTCACCTAATGAACCATTGTTCCATTGATTGTTAGCATAGCTTGCTGCTTGCGGGTGGGTGGAACACAGATGGAATCGGCGACAACATACACATAGCTTGTATAAGGAGTCAGTGAAATAAATATTACTAATTTACCACAGTGTGTATATTGCGAGCGGAAGAGCTGAAAGCCAAGATGTAAGCGTGCGGTCATTAGAGACGGTAAATAAGATGCCTTCGCGTAATCTAAAAAAGCAACAGAATACAATGTTTATGGCGGTTACGAGGGGACGCAAATATATGCCTTATCCTGACCAAGAAGAACAGAATACAAATGGTTGGGTAGCCCATTTACTCGGCATTTTGCTTAGGCAGTCCAAACAAACTCCATTGATTGAGTCCCAAATCAGCTGTAAGCAGCATGATGGACGTCAGAAATGTCCTTACAATATTGATCATTCAGGTGGTTCTTCACGTTCCGGAATCGATAACAATCCGAAAGTAAAAGTTTAGGTAGGTAAGACGATTGTGGAGCAACAGGAAAATCAGGGGGCTCAATTTGGCTGTCACAATATTTAGCGTGGGTTTATGTGCGTTGCCCTGTTAAAAAGAAATCCTTTGGAAAACTTTTCACAAAAGTTTGTTTCGGTTACCACTTGCGAAATGTTCGACTTGTTAGCCTACTATTCCGCTCTCCGCCCTGTTGTAGACGGTCCACTAAACATATATCATCTTTGTACTAGAAAAAGGACACCGCAAATCTTCAGGCCGATTCCTGAGCATGGAACATCATTGTTAACCAGATGATGGCCTTATTGTCATTTTGCCACACTGGCACACCGCCAGTTGTGGCATGGATGTACGACGGATGAAGTTATTGAGGGAATACCCAGCATAGAAACAGGTCCATTCGGGTACGGTTCCACGGATGGCCATATTACTTTCCTCGAACTTTTGCTTAACTATGCACTTGTTATTGGTCCCAGTTTCTTAGTCTCCCTAGTACCTTCAAACTGGCAATTGGTGCAAAAATGCATTTGGGTTCCATGGTATAAAACGCGAACAGTTGACTATTTTATCCGATCTCATCGTGCTGATTGATCAGACTATGCAGTTGGAATGTGCCTCACAACGTCTAGAAATATGTCCTGAAATTATGTATTTATTAGTTATGAGGGTCCTGGGACACCGTTCCTTTGAGTTTCGTTGCTTTCAGAATAATAGATACGGAGCGATTTTGCACCCCCAGTCAATAACCAAGCTGAGAATTCCTGTGCAGCGCCAAACTAGGGGAAAAAGCATTGGGTCTTTTAACTTGTTCCTTCTGATCGATATTCACAAATTACGGCACCCACTTCGCTGGAATCTTGCACATGTCTAGCATAGTGAAGACTGCAAGTCCCACCCGCTGTCATAAGATATCCAGTATGTCAGCTGTTATTTATGTGGATATTTGCTAGGGCTTCGTAATCAGCTCATGGAGAGCATCGCATGGTGTCAAGTCAGTTGAGTTAGAGTATGGCATAGGACAGATCTCATATTCATTGATGAACTGCACAGTCTTGAAATGACATATCCAGGTTTTGAAAATGCTGTATGAGGGAAACATTTTTACCGTTGTTTCTGGCATCTCAGTGTGAATGTCTTTAGGTTGTATTTTCTAGCGAAGCAAAACCTTGACTACCTGTAGCTCCAATAATACGGAGCATACTACTGCTACAACCACCACGGCTTTAATCTAGAAATAAAAACTCGTTTTTAGACCAGCAAACCTCCGGAGTGTTCAGAGTTACGCAGCAGGATATTAGGATAACACGCTCCAATATACTCTTTTCTCCATAATATCTGAAAGAAGGCATAGTCAGGAACTTATCAGTAGCCTTTTGTTGTTTGCGGCCTACCTTGCTGTGCAGGGTAGCAACTGATCGCATGCGATAAAAAAGATTTCGGGAGGTTTCTGCTGCCTAACAAAATGTTGTTACATTAGGGTTCATATGAAACATATACGATTTCAGTCTTCAGGGATATTGAGGAGCAAACTCTGTGCGGCGAGCACTTAGTATTATGTTAGAGATTACAGCCTTAAATCCGATGCAAGCTGCATGCTATACCATAGACAACACAGTTCTCCTCGTTTGCTATAGAACCAGTCATTGTCTATTCACGCATAACCCATCTAGAGATGACCTGCTGATATTGTCTGATTAAACCACAAACTTGACGAAAGCGATAGAAGCATATCTTGGTTGAGGACACTCTTTTTGTTCTCTGTCATCTGTTGCCCCATCGGAGGTTGACCAAGTGAGAGTCTATAAACACTGCAGTACGTCTACCTCCTTAGCCCGACAGGATTAACCGTGTTGAGGCAACCTTTTAAAATGTAACCCAGCAACCGACTAATTTGCCCTTACTGAAGGAGCCAGCAAAGCGAATGTATTCAACGTATTGACCAATCATATCTGGACAGCGTGGATGGAGTGTTCGAAGGTTTAATTGGTATCGCACATCTTCTAGCACATCCTATAAAATGTAAACGAACATATCGAACTGATAATGGTTGTGTTAACTATGTCCTGCTTCTCAACTGATGTGTGCTTGTAGGTAAAACAAACACGAGCAAACGAAATACTGTCTTACCTGGTAGTAATCTAGAATGTTGAGAAGACGGTAACCAATACAAATTTGCTTGTCACCGTATTTCCTTCTTCCCAGATGTGATGAAACTACCACCTGGAAGACGAATTATCCTGAGTTCAAGTTTGTGCTGGAACTTCATCCCAGCAAAACTGTCTATCGGACGAATTTCAGCGCAATGGTTTGGACGTGTATTTGTCGTTAGTTGGCAAGTGATCCATAACTTCAGGTGTCACGAAGAGAAAAGCGTTCGTCAGCTAAAATATCCTAGAATAGCAGGAGAAAATTTGAAAGTGTCAGGTCCAGTGTAAACACAACCGGCCGACAGCCTGAATGAAGGGACTGAACTATGCGAGTTCGAAACGCTTAAGTTCTTTGCTGAGGATGCCAGACGAGACTGCAGCTACAGAGTATACCCTGCGAAATGTTCTACCAGGGATTGAGCTGAAGTACACGAAAGGATAAACACACGCTGGAATGAGTAACTCAATCGCTACACCAGTGCGATAGTCAACAGCAGAGCCGGCTCACGAAATCCGGTGTATCTGCGCTTGTCTGGTGGCAGCTACGAACCTGGTCTCTGTTAAGTGCTATTTGATATAATGAAAGCTGTCACTACGGTTTATATTGATGAAGCAGTTTGGCAATATTGTTTGACATACATCTT